TATATATATATATATATATATATATATATATCAATAGATTGCCATAGATTATTCTTTAAGATGAATCTCTCAATTTCAAATTGCAAACTTTCCCTCACTTATTCTCTCTCTCTCTTGATCTCCTCTCTTATTCTAAGGTTTCCTCAATGCTTTCCGTGCTATCTTCTTTGACACTTTTCTGTATTATCTACATGTTATTTTTTCGTTACTCTTTCTTATTCTTCTCCCACGCTCTCTGCTCAAGTCGAGTCATTATCTTTTCGCTTTACATTTCTCTGATCTTTAAATTTGTTTTATTCGAGTCGAATTCTCTTGGACCACACAAAACACTCATAGTGCATTCATTTCCAGTTGAAACATTTTTGTTTTCTGTCTACACTTTAGCGAGCTCTACTTACACACATGTGGAGCGTTAGCAAACAAAATAAATAAATAAAAAAAAAGGATCAAATGATCAAACGGTAATTTCCTTGTTATTGTTATGGTTAGATGTATGCAAGCAGCAAGGAGCTAGTGTGTGTGTGTGTGTGTGTGTGTGTGTATACGTGTGTAAGTTACTTAGACTTAGTCTATGGTTTTAATATAAAACAATGGGCTCATAGTTGACTGCGTATATATACATCTACATACATACATGTAACGGGATACATGTATATATAGGCAGACATTTGATTGATCGATGCAGGACTGCGACGATGCACGGCTTGACCACAACAACTAACACAACAAATAGCACAGTTGGATAGGGCTTCTGCACACACACGCATACAGACAAACACACACACACACACACACACACACACACACACACACGCACACGCACACAGTGGGAGGCAGGCGGAGGCAGTCAGACACGTTCCAGCTGCTCGCAGGATTGCGTTTGAGGCTTTTTGCTTTTGCGTTTCGCAGAGCGGCCCGTCGTGGACTTGCCGGAGACCAGGGGCAGCTCCGTCTTGAACGGATCTATGGCTCCGAACTCGGCAATGCTGCCGCTTCTGCTGCTAGCTGGGGCCAGTTGCTGATCGGACAGTTTGGTGTATTTTTTCTTGGAGCTGCGCGTGAACAGGTTGATTAATGACTTGATTTTGCCGCTTGACGAGTGCTGCTGCTGCAGCTGTTGTTGTTGTTGTTGCGCCTGCTGTTGCTGCTGGCTATTAGCGGCGGCGCTGCCCGGCGCTTCGACCGACTTGGATTTGGTTATGCAGCGCAGCTTCTGTTTCTGCTTCTTTGCATGCTTGCTGTCCTGCCGCTGTTGGTCGGCCAGCAGACACTCCTTCATCTTGACCACGTCCGGGTGGAGCTGAATGTCCTTCATGCGGCGCGCCTGTAGTATACAGCTCTCGTGGCCTCGAGCCCCGTTCTGTGCTACATCGCTGGTGTCGTTGGCGCGGTGCAGCAGATCGTTCGAGTCGTCGTCTTCATCGTTATCGTTATCGTTGTCGTTATCGTTATCGCTGGAGCTATAGTTCGTGCCGAAACTGATCGATGCTATCGACGTCTGAACATCGCTCACTGCTATGGCAGTCCCTGCAGCCGCGGGCGCCGTCTCCAACGAGGGGGAGTTCATCTGAAACGTAACCGAGCTCTTGCGCGACGTGGGGCAGTTGGTACGCGTCTGGCTGGCTGAGGTGTCGACGGTTGAGGACGAGTGCTCCGAGGAGCAATGTGAGTGAATATTGCGCTGCTCATCTAGCGCATCCCGATCATACTGGTCCTGGTCCCAGTCGTGAAGCTGATGCTGCACCTCCTCATCGTTGTCTTCGTCATCGTCATCGATGTCGTTGTCGCACTCATTGCTGTTCGGCTGTTGCCGAAAGAAGCAGTGCCGCGGAAACTGGGAGCCGGACGCATTCCGCTGAAAGCGACTCTCCAGCGCATCCTCTGCCATTTCGGTTCGCGCCTCGGTCAGCCGCGTGGCGGAGTTGTACATGGTGAGGTCGCCGCTCGACTTGGAGTTCACGCGATCGCTGCTGGCCAATATCTTCTTCTCCAAGCCCCGATAGAAGGCTCGATCGTACGTATTATTATCGCCCCACTCCAGCGTCGGCGGCGCCACCAGCGGCGACATAGCAGTCATAGTCGGCGGCGCCTGCATGCCGCCGGGCTGCACGAACTGACTGTCCAGCGCAAGCTTCTTACGACCCACGGCGGGACTGTTGCCGAGGCTGCCGCCATACGGCGATCCGCACACAACGGGCGCCATTGCCACAGTGGAGGTGCTCGACTTGAGGAAGTGGAAGCAGCCCGTCGTGGGCGTCAGGCTGTCCGTTTCGGAGCTATCGTCTGGCAGCAGGTGGATTACATGGTTGTTGCCACTGTGCGGCATATCCAGGCCATAATCCTGGCTGCGGGCGCGACCGAAAATGTTGATGGCCGGCGAACGATTCGCCATGTTCTTATTACTGTTGTTGTTGTGGTTGCTACTGCAGCTGCTGTTGTTGTTGTTGTTGTTGTGATTGCCGTTTAATCGAGGCGTGGCATTGGATGACATGATGCTGTTTGTATTAGTTTTGTGGTTGTTGTTGTTATATATGTGATTACTGTTGTTGTTGTTGTTGCTGTTGTTGTTGTTGTTGTTGGTATTGGTATTGGTATGCAGTATTAAATATGGCATACCTGTAGCCACACCAGCGCCAACCGCACCAATCGCCGCCACACTGCCGCCCAAGTACAAGGGCGACGTGGGCGTCGAGCCGCCGGCAATGCTGCCCACATTAGAGCTGCCCAGCAACTGGGTCGCCATCGCTGCCGTTGCAGCCATCGGTGTGGCGCCACCTGGACCAGCCGTCGCAGCAGCAGCTGCTGCTGCCGCCGCCGCAGCGTTCAGCAGCTTCTTGTCCAGATTGGGCGCACTCTTGCTGAACGACGATTGCGTCGAGCTCTGTGCCGGCCACTCGGGCTGCTGCGACGGCAGCAGCGAGCGTTCGCGCTGGTGCATTGTCGATGGACCCCAGGTCTTGTTCTTGTGCCCGTCGGTCACTGCGAGCCACGAGCCCAACAAAACAAAGCGAAAACAAACCAAAAATACAAAAAAGAAAAGAAGAAAATAAACGATAAATACAAAAATATATACAAATAAATAATCATAATTAATACAAATCATGATTGATAATAGAATAATCAAAATGAAATTTAACTTTGATACACTACAAATTTTGATCCATGCATTTAAAATGGTTTCAAAGAGAAACAGTGGAAAAACTACAAATTACATGTGGCACAGTCCATATAACAGTTTATATAACAGTACATTTTGTATTACTATACTAACAGGTATTAAGTACTATAGGAAAAGATCTATATAGCAGTTCAAATTTGTCAATAAATCATCTCATTTCTCTATGTATTTCATTCAAATTCAGTTTGTTGAATTGAAAAAAATAAAAACGTTTGTCCCTAATTCAATTTCCATTCATAGTGATCTGATCTCTTGTAATACTAATGTTCCTATCCGTTTTTCACGTAAAATTAAATTGATTAAATGGATGCAATGGGAACAGTCTCTTGGGTTATTTCTCAAACAGATTTACTCGAACTTCCTTCTCACTTACGTGTAACAATGCGCAATCTGGAGAGGGAGGGCGATCCGGGTGGCTCCACCTTGTCGCAAACGGCCGTAATTGTGTGCCGGAATTCCGTGGGCAGTGATATCTGCAACGGTTTCTGCAAAGAATATATGAATAGATATGAAGTGAAATGGAGTGAAGGGATTCGATTGAATTTTACCTTTTTACTCTTTTTGGGCTTCCGTTTCGATGGCACCGGCACGGGCATAGTCACTGGTTGCATCATTAGCTCGCGTCCTAGTATATTGATTTCGCGTTGGCGCAGCTGCTCCTCCAGCTCATGCAGCTTATTGGCCTTCTCCAGTTGCTTCTTTTGCATCAGCTTCAGCTGCTCCTCCTTGTTGCGCAGTTCCTAGGGGAAGGTATCGAGCACATATGGATTAAATCGAAAATGGGAATGGGAATTTCAGTGCAGGGGCGCTCGGACTCAAAACTCGCAAAATTCTGGCAAATCCATGCAATTACATGTGATAGGGGGTGCGTGGCGGGTGGGGGGTGCAAACTTAAAGCACACAAGATTCGACTAGCAATGACCAAAACAAATCGAAAAACATCAACAGAAACGAAGCGAATTCGAAATTAAACGGAAACAAAATCGAGCAGCAAAAATGTCATGCCCTTTTTTGGAACAAGGCGCGCTTACCTCTTCGATAGTTTGGAAACGCTTAACATGGTTTTGAGTTGGGTAACAAATATTGACGAAAAATTTGATAGAAAAAAGGCGGTTAAATCAAATGATTAGACAATTTCGTTTAAGAGCTTAAGAAAGATAAATGTTTATGTCGGAATACAGAACTAACGATAGATAGAGAGACAGAATCCTATACGGGACCCCAAATATAGAATATACAACGATATCGCTGCATATTGAGTATTCGCTGGTTACCTTTTCTTTTTCGCGCAGATCATGCAGCACTTCGGCAATCTCCTTCTTCCATAGCTCCTGCAGGTGATGAAAGGATTCCTGTGGCGTTAAAGTAAATTTCGAGCACGCGCTGCTCTCCAGCTGCTCGATGATCTTTTTGAAATCTGGCCGTCTGTGCGGATCACTTTCCCAGCAGCCTGAGAAGCATTAAATATTAGCATAGATCTTCTGTCAATAATTCGCATTTCACTCACTTTTCATAAGAGCGCCCCACGTTTCGGGGCACGTTTTTGGTATCGGCAACGTTAGTGTATTGACGGCGACGCCATATGCAACGGAAAGCGGATCGAAACCTTTGTAGGGCGTTTCGCCCGTGATCAGCTCCCAGAGCAGCACACCATAGCTCCACACATCCGACGACCTGCAATGGAATACGTATTTGATAAATAACATTGAATATTGCCCACATTCCACATGGCGTCCACTTACTTTGAGTACATGCTCCGGCTGATGACCTCGGGCGGCATCCAGGCGTAGGTGCCAGCGGCGCTCATGCACTGCGTGTTGTACATTTCGCGTGCGAGGCCAAAGTCGGTAATTTTGAGCGTTTTGTTATGAAGATCGCTGCCCTCGATGGCCTCATAGATGAGCACATTGGAGGACTTAAGGTCACGATGTATTATCGACATGGGCGCCTCGCTGTGCAAATAGTTCATGCCGCAGGCGATTTGTATCGCCCAATCGACGAGAACATCGGGGGGTATTTTTCCAGCGAGTATGCGATTGAGGCTGCCGCCCCGCGCATATTCCATGACCAGACAAAGCTTTGTCTTCAGGCAAACCCCACGCAGTGCTGCAATATTGCGGTGCTTTAGCGGCCAGAACAGCTTGGCTTCCTGGAGGACATTGTCACGCATCCGTTGCATATCATCATCGCCAGTCTGATGAGCTATCTTTATGGCGACCTCCTCGTTGTCGTAATAGCCGCGATGAACTTTACAAAAGCCGCCGGAGCCAATCACCTCTTTGATGTCCAGCTCCGACTCGTCGATTTCGTGCGGCAATTCTAATGGATCCGCGTCAGTCACAAAGTTGCGCGGAAAAACCCCAACCTGGCGAATGAATAAGCCCCGATGAGTAACTAATTACTTTAAACTATTAATTTAGCATATTTACCTTATCACCGATTTTACCCGTCCACCAGCCCACGTCGCCGGAAACCTCGCTGTCGGTAGAGAGCACAACAACGATCTGTCCCCGTCGCAATGTCAGCTCATCTTCGCCCTGTGCATCGTAGTCATATAGTGCCGTCCACAGGCTCGCATCAGCGGCCAGAGCTGCCTTATCATCGGCCAGGCCATTCGCGGCCGCAGCGGCAGCGGCAGCAGCGGCTTCATCTGAGACATTCGCATGTTGCTGATTGCTGCTGCTGTTGTCCACGTGCTGCTCCTCGCTGATAGGGAGCATGGCCGGTGCTGCTGCTCCTTGTTGCGCTGTTGTTAAACGAGTTGCCGTCGTCTGCTCTCAGCTAGCATTAAAAGCTCAAACATGGACGCGCGCTTCTTTTAAGAAACTCGAGCCCGTTCAACTGCAATGACGCAAAATCTTGATAAGCAAATGGAAAAAGCAAAAACGAAAACGACCAAAACCAAAAACAAACAAAAATAATAGCACGATGACAGTCAACAGCGCGCTGCATATCCCCTCTATCCCAAGAAAGCCCCTCTACAACAAACGCCACCACACCCACTTGGCAGCATGCGAGCGTTTTGTTGCTACTTACACAGTTCTGTTTCGCCGATTTGGCTGCACAGATTTCACTCCTTTAGCTGCTGCTGCTGGCACTTGCACTTGTCCCGCCCGCCCCCTCAGCCAAACGAACGCACGCACTGCGCACACAATAGAAAACAATCAGAGACAACACACGCACACACACATGCACGCGCACGCACGTACACAAATACACTGTTCCACAGTTCGCTATCTTCGGCCTTTATTTTTTTAAAGTAAAACCAGCTCAACGATGACTTTAATATGTTTGATCAACTTCGAATTGGTCCTGTTCGCATTTCCTACAAATGGTTGACGTTTTTTTTTTTTTTTTGTTTTTCGTTTTTATCGTTTACGTGCGTGAGTGTATGCGAGTCTTTATGTCTGCTCGTTGGCTATTTCGTTAACGTAACGTCGTTTTGGTGCTGCAATATGCTTGTCTCGATTTCGTTTGCTTAACTTTTCAGTTTAGCAGTGTATTGATTTCTGCTTTCGTGAATGTTTCTTAAACATAATAATAACTTATGTTGAGAAAAACTTGCAGATAGAAATATTTCGACGGGCGATAGACGGCCGACACACAACTACCAATAATGGCGGTCGGTCGATATGTTGCCACTGATACGTAAATTGTGTAAAACAGCGCCGAGTCGCATTATTAGAATCGCTCATTTGTGCGTCTCTATGACTCGATTTTGCGTTTACTGTTAACGGTAAAAAAAAGTGGTACCGTACATTTCTTGTAATACTGAATAACATAAATACATATGTATGAGCTATGTGTTTTTGTATGGACACGTATGGATATTATTTACATATAAATTATAATTGTTAAAGGTCTACATAACACTATGCTATGACAGTATTTATCTAATATAATATACATTCGTTGAATATTTTAGAAAAAGCCAAAGAATAGTAAATATATAAAAAGCAGTTTGAGCTGCTGTAACATACAAAATAATAGACACCTTCAGTTTCTTACTTATTTCAATGGGCTGTCGCAATTTATTCTGTCTGGCAACTCTCCATTTTTCAAATATGCTGGCAACTCAAAGCTGTTCAACAGTCGCGTTCAACGAAAATGCGGCAACACGGAATCTATTTAAAATGAATGGCTAAAGGAATATTAAATATGTTATTCATTGGCTAAAGCGATGCTACTTAGCCAGGTGTAGTCCAGCAGCTGCTGGCTGTGCTGTGTATCCCGGCAATACCGCACGCGCGCTCACGCTATTTTTCCTTATGCCTCTCTCTCTCTCTCTCTTATTCTCTCTCTTGACCCGTTGCTGTAGTTGACTTTGTCACTGGCTCGGCTGGTCCAGCGTCGGCATTGGCATTAGCATCCTCGGCTACTGGCGCTGCTGTTGCTACTACTGCTGCTGTTGGTACCAGTGCTACGGCATTGACAGCAGAGCCAAAGTCCGTAAACCAGAAACAGAAACGGAGCCAGCGCCAGTGCACGGTCCACAGCAACGGCGGCTGCTGTAAAAACGATTCGCAACGCTCAGTTCAGTTACGCGCAAGATTTCAACATAAATTGTAGCACACTTTAGTGCGACGGACGCGGTTAAAGCGGGCGTGCGCAGCAAAATTGCACGGCAAGAATCCCAATCAGTAACAGAAACGGAAACGGAACTTCTTGTCTGAGTTGGTTCTGCTATTCAAATAATTGTCAACCGCTTTATTTTTGGTTTTTTTTTTTTGTTTTTTTTTTTGGTTTGTTTGTTTTTTGTTTATAACTTCAGCTGAAGTTTTTTTTTTATAACACATCGTTACAACAAACTGATTTCGCTCATTCAAAAAGGAAAAATATAGTTCGCACCAAATCTCGCTACATTTGCAAAGCTATAATATATAATTTTTTTTTGTGCTAAACGCGTTACCATCGCAGCCGCCGCCACTAAATTTTTTTCTCGCTGCGTGCGTGCGTGTCTTTAAGTGTGCGTGCGTGTGTGTGTCTGCCTGACTGAGTGTGTGTGTGTGTGAACGCGTATACGAAAGCGTGATATATATATTTTTTTTGCACTCTGCTCGAATACCTAACAAAAAGCCATGTCCATAAAAGCGTCATGTTGAAATAGCTACAAAATCGCAACAAATAAAACAAATTGCAATCAAATAATAATAAAACGAAAACGCACAACTCGAAAGAGTTCACGATTAGCTCGTTAAGCTCAATCTTCAGCCAGCCAGCCAACATACTTAGTCTAAGTCAATGGATGAGAAAGACGACGAAGCCAAGCATCAAAACGAAACGCACAAAGCCAACGGAACGAAACGTAACGTTAAATTTTCAAAAACAAAACAACATAACGAACGCAGCATCCAATTTTAGGGTAACCCAATTAAAACATATACAACTACGTATACATATGCATACATAGATATACATGTATTATAAATGCTTATCTATTTTACCGCTCCTTTTATATATATGTAAGTTTAACTGTTTTTAATTTATGCATTTGTTTTTACTTATTGAGAATTATCAAACATTACATTAAACGCATACGTACATATACATATAAGCATGAATGTGTGTATGTATGCTCATAAATCCACACAAATAGCTGTTGCCTGGCCTATAAAATGGCTACCCTAATGGTAGAAGCAGCGCTGTCGACGCTGGCAGCGTGGTAAGCAGCGCGCAAGAAGTTGAGGTTATGTCTGCGCCGCAAAACGTGCTTTGGGTTGCTGTTGCCCTTGGCATAAAATTCGGTGCTGCTGCGACTGTGATGGTGACGCGAGCAGCAGGCAGCGACGCCAGCAGCGGCTGCTTAGCCCTGCTTAGCTGGGCGTGCCAGCAGCATGACAGCCGCTGTAGTAGAAGGCAAGCAAAATGCGACGCTGTCGTCGCTGCAGCAGCATCCTTTAACAGAGCAGCGCTGCTTGTCTCTTTGCATGTGTAGGTATGTGAGTGTGTGTGAGTATATTTGTGCATGTCTGTGTGCTGGTGAGCTGGCTCTTGTTAGCAGCTACCACACGCACGCACACAAAGTTTTGGGCTCCATAAATGACCTAGCCCTATTTCTAGGCATTACGCTTTGTCCGCTGAGAGTCAACTGCTTGGCCCGCAGTTGCTGCGCAGTAGCTGCGCTTGGCGGCGTTTGCGGCGACGGCGATTGTGACATTTTCTTTTGATTTGTGCTCGAAGGATGTGGTCGCTGTTCGTAGCGCTAGCCCTTTTCTAAATATTTATATATATATGTGTGTGTCTGTGCTCTTTTTATTGCTTCCTTTGCACATTTCACGAACGTTTTTCGTTTCCTTTAGATTGCCGAAAAAAGTGTTGCATACCCTGCAGGCTGACAGGCTGACAAGCTTTCGAGACCCGGCCAAGCGGAACTCTAGACAATCGAGACAATTATGGGTCACACTTATTTAGCAGATTGTCGACAGCCTTAAATTTCGATTTTATCATTCGGTTGTCAGCAACCTAATCCAAACTAAAGCCTAAGCGTTCAATCGTATGTTGGCTAAGAGCTCTCTCTCTCTCTCTGTCCTCTCCACTGCATGAGGCGCATTGTATTCCAAAGTGTTCAATTTCCGTTACAGCCCTATATAATATGTCAGCCCTTTGTTGGCCAGAGACCACCCCACTTTGAACTGCATGTCAAATTTGACATGGTCTTTCAGTCATCTAATCTTGACTTTCCTTGTTGTGTTTTGTTTAATTAATTCTATCCTTTTTACCTGATTGTGACTCTCTGTGAGCAATTTACAACAAAGCAAGCTTTAAAATGGATTGACCGTATCCAGAGATGTAGTACAGATGTAGATGGATACAATTTTAAATCAGCAAACAACAAAAATAATTTAATTTTGTATATTTGTATAGGCTACAGTCTGTTATACCCAATTGAAAGTCTTCATTGTTTGGTTTTTAAAATATAATTAAACATATTTTCAAGCTACGTTTTGGATTGAAATATTTAAATTTAATTTATTTATATTACTTTAATATAAAGAATTAAAAAATAAATAAATAATATAATCAAAAGAAGTCTGAAATATTTTTAAAATAAAAAACATTTTAAAAAGAGTAAGAGGAACGATCCTTTCGTGTGAGGTTTTTTGTGTTAAATATTTTAATGTTATATAGTCATCAGACGTTGTCCATTTTTATACCCTGAGCCCATTGAAAATGAGAAATCAGGGTATAATGTTTTTGTGAAAAAGTATGTAACAGGCAGAAGGAATCATCGCAGACCCCATAAAGTATATATATTCTTGATCAGCACGATGAGCTGAGTCGATATAGCCCTGTCCGTCTGTCCGTCCGTCTGTCCGTCCGTATGAACGCCGAGATCTCAGAAGATATAAGAGCTACTATTAGACGTGGAGACTTCAGATTTACTGTGTATTTATTATTATTTTATTATGATGAATACAAAATACAACATGGGAAATCAAGGTATAATGGTTTTGTTAAAAGTATGTAACAGGCAGTAGGAGGCATGGTAGACGCCATAAAGTATATGTATTCTTGATCAGGGTGATGAGCTAAGTCGATTTAGCCCTGTCTGTCTGTCCGTAATTCCGTCTGTCCGTCTGTTTGAATGTGTCGATCTCAGAAAATATAAGAGTTAGAGACTGAAATTTTGTTTCCCAGGTCCGTGTGTACCATCGATAACTTGTTCGGCTTTTTTATCGATTAAAAACATTATCGAAAATCAGTAAAAAATATATATTTGCTACATCTTTAAGGCTAGAGCCACCAGATGAATATAGTCCACTCACAAAACAAGTTATTTAACAATTAAGCTCTGTGTGTAAGTCTGTGTGTGTGTTTGCAAATAATGATTGAAGTAACAGTTGCTGGAAAGATTCAGGGGTTCTCGTATATGTGTGTAACAGGCTGAAGAAGGCGTGACAGACCCTATAAAGTGTATATACTTATCCCTGTCTATTTGTCCGTCCGTCCGTATGCATGAAGAAGGGAAACAGAGCTAGGAACTTGAAATCCATGTATCATGTGCACATCGAATTTCTTTCCAAAAATCGATTACTGCACCCATTATTTTGTTATCGATTAAACACCGTATGTAAATTAATATCTCCATCCATCTCCAAATTTTAAACATAAATTTGTGTCTACTTTATAGAATTACGATGCTCTTTCTAATCCACCCCCACTGAAATATCAGATGATTGAAGGGTTCCGGGGCAGTCCCGACTAGAGCATTCTTACTTGTTATCTTTTAAGGTATTTGCTAGTCGGTCACTACCAACTTCCAACTAGACTGCATCACATTAATTTATAAATTCCCTTTAACTGAACAACTTTTCGTATTTCTTGTTTGTTTCGTACTTTCAGCTTAGCTCTGCTCCAATACAGAGAATAGAATAGTAAAGTGGAATCAGTGGAAGCTGCTCATAAGCTCCCAGCTAGCTCGCAGTAAAGGACGAGAGGAATATAATAAGCAGATGAAGCGTAATTGATATGAAATAGAAAAGAGCTGCACACTGACTTAGCCGAGCAGCAATTGTATTGCAAAAATGTTCACAACAATAGCAGCGCGAATTGCAGCGGAGGCGAGCTGATTACGCCGGACAGCGAAAGGAGCCAAAGGAGCGAACGCAGCTAGGGGTGCCAGTGGCGCCAGTGGTGCCAAAGGAGCCCAAGGAGCTGCGCAATGCAAGCGAACAGCAACCGATCCACATTAAGCGCACAATCCTCCGGCACACCGTCGGCCTCAACGATATCCTCGTCGCAGGGCAAGGTAAGCTACCCGCAATCATAGACTGAGTGACGACTTTCTCTGTCCAGGCTGGCAATGGGCCACAAATAGTGGCAATGCACTCGCAGAGCCCCACCAACACCGCCCCCATCAATCCCAATCACCAATCACACATACACACATACACAGAGAGAGAGAGAGAGGGGGCCGGCAATGGCAGCAACAACAATGGAGCTCATCTACTTCGATTTTGCTCCCCAAGGAGCTGCCTGCCTGCCGCCTACCCATAAAAAAGCAGAGGCGAGATCCCAGCGTTAGGTTTTGCTTTTTGTGTCGCCTCGTCCTCCCTTTCCCCATTCCCTGCCCCTTTATGGGCTGGCCATCCCTTTCAAGTGCCCTTTGTGTGGGCGAGCTTTGAGCTGGCGAGCATTAGCAACGGTCCCCAAAAAGCACCTTGAACGCCAATAAGTACTTCACGCATATCGTTTACCAAATAGCCAATTCATAAACTAGCCAGTCCCTGCACGCCCAGACCGTTGTATACCCTTCCTATTGCTATAGGCTTTGTCAATAAATTTGTCGGCAATTAAAGATATTTTGCTTGTTTTTGTTAAGTTTTGCTCGCAAATTGGAAAATCATTGAGACAGGGCTTAGATGTGTATGTATCTGCAAAATATGGATCATTGAACGGAACTTCAGTAAATCTACTGTATAAATAGACCTATAGCTCCATCTTCGATAATGAACGAGTCGTACTCATCAAATAGAACCACTAATAACTTTAAAGCAGAGCATAGTTCCATATAGTTTACGCCAATGTTCAATTGAGCTAGTTCATTACTTTGCATACCTAAGTAAGTAATCGAAACTTTCCAAATGAACCAATCAGTGAAGGACATGGTTGAAGCCATATCGGAACTATCTGCTCTTTCGGCTCATGTGCAAGAAGAGCATTTAAAGTTCGGCTCGCTTGAAAGCTGTTGACTACCTTTGCCTTTGTTTCAACTTCAAAACAGACTAGACAATCTTGTTTATCAGGCCAGTCCGTCTGTATTTTACATCAGTCCGCTTGTGTTATAAGCCCCAGCTTTGTTCTCAAATATTCCACTTCAACTTATTTGTTTGCTGTTATTAAAACGCTTTTATTGTTGCTCTGCTTATTGTAATTGAAGATAACAGCTCTTTTCATGGTCGTTTATGCAGCTTAACAATCGAGTTCGACATTTTTTCCGTAAAACTTTCTGGGACTCGAGTAAAAATAAATTTTCATAATGCCCAAATATTGGGAACGAACCCATTAAAATTACCCATTGATATATGTATATTATGAGGCATAAAATGAACCAGGTTAATTTAATATAGTTCAGTAACAAGAACTATATTATTGATATAGAAATTACTACAGGTGAATGGAATTTACAAGTAAAGCTCTTTATTAAACAGAACTGGATCTACCGCCCCCAAAGCTGTCCCAGCCGAACAAAACCGATTTAATTCATGAGCAGGAAATTAATCATTCAGCTAGTTCAATACAAATTGAAACAATTGAACTAGTGAATGTGCAAAGGAGTTGTAGTAATTCTCGCTCTGAACTGGGTGAACTATTGAATAGTGATTGTTTGAATGTGAACAATCGAGAGTACTTAGCCAATTTAACTGGAATAAATGTGAAAGCTGCACAGAGAATGGCCAATTGCTAATTTTGTTCATGACTGACAAGGTGGACCATTAACCGGACTATATTGAACTACTTTAATCAGCTCTAATGAATTGTGAATTACCGAAATAGTTCATGACTGGTTGAAAGAGTTAAGATAGTTCATAAAGCATAAAATGGATTCCTCTATTCAATATGACTGGCTTATCGTAGCCAGGGGTCATATCTGCTGAAGCTATTATTATGTTGATTGCTTGTAGCCTATAAAGCCCATCCTGATGACACACACACACATATATACGCCCATACACACACATACGTACATATGGTAAAGGCATATAAAGATTCTGAATTTAATTAATTCACAGAGCACACGAAATGCATTTACAATCGAATTGGAATGTATGTTGCACTTTAGCTTTTGCTAATTGGAATATTTGGTTATTGTCAAACCGCCTCTGGGCATGATATAATAATTGTGCCTTTGCCAGATGCCGAAATTCGGCTAATGAACAACATATTGAATTCAATTCTGCGAAATTGAGAAGCCCTTCAAGGGCTCGCCTATGTGGGAGGGGCTTGGGTTAAATTGAGTTTGATTTAAGCAAAGTAAGAGATGTAGAGAGAGAGAGAGAGAGAGAGAGAGAGAGAGAGAGAGAGAGAGAGAGAGGGAGA